AAGATAAAACGATTCACTGTGTTACGCAGTGTCGTCTGTGTACATTGCTGGAAAGCACCCGATGTTATGTAGCTATTAAAAACGACACGAAAGGTCAACAATTTTAAAACTCTTTGGATTTACGGGAAGTAATTCAAAACTGTCACGAAAAAGGCTTTATCGCGGATTGGTGTTTACTGGGACGCGTCAGCTTCACCTAAAACTGAAACCGACATTTCAATCAGTTCCACGACCGCGAATGATCGACGCGAACGAATCACATTAGTTTTCTCACCCGAACATTAGAAATGTTTGCAATTCGGAGAATTCAACGCGCCGCGGCGTTGCTGTAATTTCGTCGGAACTCGGATTTTTGCGCACGCGTTTAAGATCATTCAGTTTCACCAACGTTGTTTAATTTTAAGCACAGCTTAATTCGTTCCTTGTCTCTTCCCAACTGTTACTTTAGAAAGAAGAAAACGCGAATTAAACTAAGATTAAAGTTAAGCGACGTTTGGTGAAACCGGGCCTATACCGTCACCGCTACTATTTGCCTTCCCAATGAGAATAACGTCGTTTATACGCGTGCTCGTAATGACATTGAACGCGATGAGCAAGTTCGGGAAATCAGGAGGCACCCAACTTCAATTCGCGCGACTCTTCGTTCGTCAATTTGAATCGTGAACATTTATGTGAAAATTCTCAGTCGTCTCGTGCGAGCACACGCGTGTGCGTGCGCACGTGTATATGTTTGTTGTATACATGTAATGTCTCGTCGCTATTTTCACATCGCAAACGGCCGTCGTCTAAAGGCGAAAACAGGGGAGGAAGGGACTCGCTTTTCGGATAGTCGGATCCCTTGATTTCAGCAGGCAAGACAGTGGGTGCTTCCCCAGCAACGTATACCGGGGACGCTGTGTTAACACAGCGAATCGTTTTATCTTTGTCGTTTGTCATTATTAAACAAGGATCCCAAGGAGAAATGAAAAGACAAGATGGCGTCAATTTGATGATGTCATATTGAGCGAAATATGACACAAATTTGGTCAATATGACACCAAATTGACATCATCTTGATATTCATTTCTCCTTGGGTGAAATAGTTCCTCTGTGTTACACCGTGTCAATCTGTGTCTCTTGCTGGAAAGTATCCATTGTGTGCATTCGTTTATGTGATTGCTGCAGATACATCGCTCGATCTTCGTTGTCTTTGATATCTGGATGTGCAACGAAGATAGATTGATCCGCGGCAGTCACGTAAACGAACGCACTGTAGTTGGGCTGATTGTGAGTTGACACTTAATATACAGTGTTCATTTGTTTAGTGAGTGCTGAAGATGCATCGCTCTATCTTCGTTTGATATCTAATGTGCAACGAAAACAGAATGATGCTAAGCAGCAGTCACTGCGTAAATTAATGCACGCACAGGTTCGATGGAAGACTCGCGAATGATGCTAGTAGAACCAGATGGCCGTTTACGTAGCGTTCTACGTACGAAAGAAAGTTTATTTCTTATCGTTAGATTCCCCAATTGAACTACGACAGCGACGACTTGTCGATTCCTCCACCCGTTTTCACGATCCGTAGATCGGAAAGGCGGACTCGTGTACTCACTTTGATTACGGTCCTCCAAGGGCGGATCCAAGGCAGGGGATGCTCCTCGCCCTGAGAAAAATTAATGTACACTAGATAAAACACGTTTCGGGGAAAAATTAATCAAAATAAAAATTGACAAAGTTAAAATTTAAACGGAAAAATAAAATATTGCGGGAACGAAACCGGGATGATAAACAAACCGACATTACAACAATAAAAAACACAATCTAAACCTGAAAACATAGACTGATTTAAGAGACCTTATTTAAAGAGGTGTCCACTGTGTCCAGATACTTAAAGAAAACGCCAGTATTTAACATTTTGACAAGTTAAAAGTGGTCGGTTAAAAACAAAAAACCGCAAGTTTCACGAAACAAATCTAAATTAGATCTCCAGCTCTGCGCCCCGAAAAAGTTGGTAAATTAACGTATACATAAAGTGGACAACCTCACGGATGACGTTGACCTTGATATATGTTAAGATCACTTTTCCGAGTGACCTTCAGATGGTTTTAGCCGACAGTCGTTGCTTATTAAAAAGTTATTGACAAAAATAACGTATGGTTCCACATAGGTCTGCGACTTTCCACGCGAAGCGAGATTCATCCCCTATATTCCCCACCCAAATCTAATGCGAACGAGGTGAATCTCACTTCGTATGAAGAGTTGATAACACATGTTGAACCATTAAATTAAATTTGTTAATAACTTTTTAACAAACAACGACCGCCAGCTAAAACCTTCTGAAGACCACACAGGATAGCGACCCTGACAACATATGTCAAGGTCAAAGTCATCCGTGAGGATGTTGCCCCACTTATGCATATTAACGAAAATATTTCCTGAATCCGCCCTTGCGGTGCTTGTCTTTCAATTCCACAACTAAAAAGGGGAAAAAAACATTCGTTTATGTGTGACTATTATTCTAAACTAATAGTGTAAGATTATACAAAGTTAAGTGTCCTTAACATTAAGCACATCCCAACTCGCGTGCACACTCGCGTGCACACATACACTTGGAGAAAGTAATGTAAAATGGTTCTAGGGGACATCGAGGCCTCCAACTCCCTTCCCTCCCTTCCTCGCTCCAATCCCTTTTTTTCGCATACTTTTATATAGGTATACGAAACGAAGAAATTAGCGAAGGAGAGATGTCGATGTGATTATTCTATGTACAATCACGGACAATCACGGACAATCATTTACACGTAGCAAGAGTTATCGAGAGTAGATGTATGAACGATAACGCATATCGTTTAGACAGGGCTACGTTTGGACGAGGAACTTTTTCTCGCAGTGACACGACAGCCGGAGGAACAATCGATCGCGCGACAATGATTGTCTGCCGAATGATCGTTAAACTGAGCGGGCATTTAAATTTATTATTACTTATAAAATATATATTTATAATATTTAAAAATAACTTATTATATATTTATAATATTAATATTTGATATCATGAATATATTTATGTTATAAAATATTATATATTTATATCGTTGTATACATATCTCTTTTTATTTCTACCGTTATATCGTCACGTTCACGTTGCATCATTATTCAAATCAAATTCGTGTATTATAGTAACATTATATTATAGTAATGTAGTATTATATAAAATTATATGTATATGAAATATGTATGGACATATTTCATGTATTTTTTTATATATAATTCTATATATTTATTCATGTTCATGCATGAACAATTTTTTACCAGGGAAAGTATTTAGATGACATCCTTCTTCGTCTGATCACACGATCGGGATGTCATACAGATTGTTTTAGCTCCTAAACATTTAGTAAATTATTTGATTGAGTTCATTTTGTTTTACAGTTTTATTTTTCGTTTCTCGATTTAACTGCTTCACCAGCCTTGTTCCACTTTGCCGGGAATACGTAATGCTGGAATACATATAAAGTCAGTCAACATCGCGCCAGGCGACATACAATCAAATTAGTGCACATTCCGATGTTGATCGGCGCTTATAGCTCGTCCAAACGCGCGCGTTTCGAGAGAGGCAGCCTACGTACCTATCGATTTTATCGATCACGAGTATCACAATGGACAACTGCTCCCGTACCATGCGTGTTTATTTAACAAATCCTTCGTATGAAACTAAATCGATCCAGATGAATATTCAGAAGCGACGGGACATGCGATTTATAAGTGTTATTTTAGGTAAAACTAAAATCAACTCTCGTACGGCCTAAAAAGCGAATTAAAAACGCGCCACTGTGGTACAACTACGGATGTTTCGTTCGTTTCTGCACTTTCCTTTTGAATACCTCTCGTACACGCAAATTCCGTTATATAGGATAAGATTCTCATTCGTGGATTCCAAAAAATGACCTCACTTCTGTCGCGGTAGACGGACTTCTCGTGTATCAAGACTCGTTAAATCTTTTTTCAATCCGTCTCCTCATATATGCGAGGCAAAAAGCTTGTCTTCTATTATTTTAGTTACTTGAATTATAAAACACTGTGAACCAGTGATCAAGTAATTTTGAACGTGTTATTTGAAGCGATGATGGAAAGGACGCGTTCAAGATAAAATCCGAAATTTTCAACTTTAATCGAAATTAAACTGGTTCTCCATTGTTCCTTTATATAGTTTCTTCTTTAATAAATTGACAATGATAAGTTTATAAAGTGAGGAAGTTTTATCAAGATTTGAAAATGCCATGTAAGAAATTTTCTATCGATTTATCTCGAAACCAATATTTTTTACTTATTGTTAGCACATCTTTCAAAGCCGAAGTCAAACGGAAAAAAATCAGCAATACAAGGAAAATTTTAAATTTGAACGCTCCAGGAAATATTCTGTAGATAATTACACAACTGACGGGAAAGTATTCCTTAATCACGAACAACAAACACAAACTCTTTGAGATCGGTGGTAGAATCGAGCACGTTCTAAATTACAATTTCGTAATTAGTGAACGTAGATGAAAAAAAAAGAGTAAAGTACCGTACCTTAAAAGAATAATGTATGCACTGAATATTCAGCACCTCCAGAATAAATCGTTAATATGTATAGAGATTTAACGTAAATGTGTTAAATAAAAATATTTTTCACCGTAATTCGTCTGACGTCTTGGATGTATGTTACGCTCGACAAACACTTCGTACAGATCAACCGATCCTAAAGAGTATAACTTTCGCGGTGTGTATGTATGTACTTCTGTTCTGTACTGTTATAATTCGATCGACTTTCTTAGCGCCTTCCCCTGCTCACTTTATTTCTCCGAAATCGGACGCGCGGATATTAATATTTATCGGCGCGTTTCTTAAACGGCAAATTATTATCAATATAGAGATTTTCTCGCGTAGTAAACGTATTCGTCACCAGCAAGTAAAGTGCTCAACCAAATAATCCCTATTAAGATTATGTGTTCAGAAAGGATACGTTATACTCTGCGACGTCGTTAGTGATAAGATAGCATTCAAAGATCTATTCAGAGAATAATACAATCCTTCTACTAATTATACATACATATAATTATAAATGTATATTTCATGTATTCGTTTTTAAAAATACAGTAAAACTACTATTGTATCGACATAATATTAGAATTTTGCACCCAACATTTACCGCTTGAACTGTCTTGTCTGTACAGTGGCCAAACTTGTCAATTACAACATTACTATACAGTAAGATCCTAGACAAAGCATTTGTCTTATTTCAAGAAATAAAAGTTAAATGATACCTTGTGTACGCAAGAGAAATTGCAAGTATACAATATTTTTAATTAGATTTCTTTTAAAATAATATAACTAGGTGTATGAAAGCGATAGTAATCGTGAGGCTATACATGTTACTTTGCATTACTATTCTACAATTTACATTATTATACAATATTATTGCACGTATTATAATGAAATTAACTCTTTCTTGCCGATATAAATACAAGTAACACATGGCACGATTTGCTTCTCATAAGGTATCAAAAATAGAAGACAATACGATTTGCGTTTTTATTGTTAGGTTCTCTTTGCGATTCGCGGTAAATCATTAGACTTTATAACTGACCAAAGCCAAGGGCCTTTCTCTTGGCAATATTGTGGTACACTTTTACGTATACCTTTGGCGAGTATTTTGACTTCCGTATTCTGGTTTTAATGAAAGTGATTTCGGGAATTGTGAGAAAAGACAATAGCTTTTGTATCGTAGGCGTTTTTTCATATTGCTTGGCTTGTTGTTTGCATCGAAGCAAAGACGAGTGCATTGCAGTCGACTTTACTTGTTTCTTTCTTGACGCCTTTTCTCGACAATTTAATTTAAACATTTCTGCTGTCGAGTTAGTTCGTTTGATATGTTTGTTCGGTAAAGTCTGCGGTCGATCGAATAAGCAGAATTTATTTTTCTCTGGAGTATCCGGAAATGGTACATTCTGAGCCGTTTCCGGTACTCCCGTTAATTTTTGACTTTCCATTACTTCGTTCGTAGTAAATGTGCTCATGCTCGTAGCCGATATTTGCGGTTCTATCTTAATCACGTCAGAAGTCAGTTTGTTTGGTAAATTTAAAGAAGGTATAATGCCGCGTTTTAATTTCCTCACTCTGAAGGTTACCAGATAGTCATTGTCAGCAAAATGCCGATAACACACGGCACACTTGCTTATTTGTTCATCGGTCAGATGTTGAATTTTCTCAGAATAAATCATGTTTTTCCACTTCTGGAAGAGAACTGGGTTTTTGGGGATTTGATGAGACGGAGCATCTCCTCCTGAAGGACATCCCAAGACGCAACATGCCCTACCCATAGCCTAACAATAAATAAGGTGATATATTCTTATCATTTAATTTCTTATAGTATATTTATAATATTAAGGATTGTTCATCGACATTTCTTTAAATACTCACGACAAATGCACTTCCGAATAACCTAAAAGTGCCGACGTGTTCACTCAATTCCTAAACCATAGACATAATATATCTAGACCGAGCATTAAGCATTAAGCGGGGAGCACACACTTTTGTATAAAGCCCGCTGCAGACGAC